AGATGGAAGAGAAGAGGACGCCTGCTGCGAGCCGGCGACCGCAACCGGGTGATTGTCGCCTTCTTCGCCCTTCTGTGGAGCATTCTCCTTCGAATCCGGCGTCCGCGCCCTCCCCGCCGCAGCCGACCTGGGCGTCGACGCCTTCTGCCTTCGCGGAGCCTTGGCGGTGATCTTGGCGGAAGGTGGCGCGCTTTCCGGTCTGATACGCTTCATCTCCGTTCGCCGTGCAAGAGGAAACGAAGCCGACCGGTAAAGACAGAGGCCGCCTTTGGATTCCTCATATATATAAAATATATATAGAACGTGCGATATTTATATAGAAGGTAAGTCGGTTTCAGATGCTCCACTGGAACACTTTACACTATGCTACACCGTTGCCCTTTTCTCTAGGATAAATATTCGAGAAAAGGAAAAGATAGCTAATGGCAGACCTGCGAAGCTGGCTGAGACTGCTTCTACAAGCACGCATGCATCTTTGTTATTTGAGTTTCCCTGTATCGTTTACGATGACAACATCTCTTAGTATCATAATTGTTCGGGATCGATCGTATGAGTTTTAGTTTTATCATGATCGATCGAAGTATGTATTGTTATATCAGAAAATTAAATATTTTTTTTCTAATTATGATTTTATTTTATTTTTTTCATTTCAATGGATTTAACTTATTTAATCATTTTATTGAACCCGTTGATACGGGTTCTGTGGTGTTTTATTTTCCATTGAAATTATTTTTATAATTTAAGATATTTTTAAGTGTTTTATTATTTAAAGTCTGATGTACGTATTTGTCGAGGGAAAAAGTCATTGACTTCTTGAATAGTCCGACGTAGTTTGAATTCGTATGTATAGAGTAACCCGATGTGTAACATGTATGAAAGTCGAGAGATTTCTGATTCCTCTAATGTATAAGTTAGTTATCCAAGATGTATTAGTACGAACATAAATAGTCAAAAGAAATAATAAGTTATCACGTAGTAAGATAAATCTTTAATCGGTCCCCACGATTCTTTTTTACTTATTCATGTGAACAATAATTTTTATAGTTATAATATAATATAATTGTAAAACAAAATGATGGATGACACACTTAATGGGATGGGGAGAGACGTAGCAATCACAAGTGTGTCACATCTCCATTATTATCGACATTCTATATTACAACATATATCACAAGCGTGCATCCTTTACGCTTAAAGGAGGAGATGATAATGCAATCATCAAGGCATCAACAACAACAATGAATAATAGACGATCGCATATATATATATATATATATATATATATATAT